AAAAAAACCCAACAGGGACAAAGTATTAAAGGGACATTATGGAAGTTTGACAGCCAAAACATGTATAAAAATAATAAATGTCTTCTTCATACATTCTCCTGCAATGCCCTGGTCCTGTAGAATGAGCCCTGGCATTTTTACTGTGATTGCCTGTTTTTCTGTAAAATCACAGAAAAAGAGAGATGCTCGGGTCGAGCAGGCTGCTTCATGCGCGTTCACACTCAGGCATCGCCCGTAGCATTTGCTGTCAGTGGCTTTAGCAGCAGAGAGAGAGGCAGTGCCACTTTGTCGCTGTTCCTAACGCCTAGTGACAAAGCTAGCTACATTTCTGAGGACCCTTAGCTACTTTCTGTAGAACTTTCTTCTAGATAATTCCTGCAAATTAGCAACAAAATAGCCATTTTCACTCCGAACCGTTCTTTGAACGTTGTTTCAGCTGTCATCAAGGATATAAATGTTACGGATACAATAGACGTCACTGGCGCTTTATCTCACCTAGTAAGACGTCGGACTCCCGTGCAGAAGTCCAGGGTTTGATTCTGGATGTGAACATTCTTTATTTAGAGTTTCTGTTTTACATTGATGGTATATTTTTTTACAGTAAGATGCCCAAATTTTTATTTGAGACTCGCCGAACGGCATTGAATTCACAGATAAAAAAAAAAGTGAATTCAACTTTCATTTTGGAACAATTTTTCAATCAAGGGAAGGGAATGATCTGAGCATGCAGGAGGACTGACCCATCTTAAACCTTTGTCGGCTGTGCTGAAGAGAAAGGTACAGAACCAAATTATTTAATTAATTAACTGTGCGTTCTCCTGTCCTCTGTCCCCCCCCCCCCCACACACACACACACACACACACACAGGACTGTCTCAGCTGTTATTTTCGTTAAGGAGTGTGCATGTACAGCATGCGCGCCTCGTGCACGAGCCTACTATTGAAGCTGCCCTTACGCTTTTGGCCTGAGGGGGCAATCGCGAGCATAAAAATTCAAAACTCCATAAAGTCCCTTTAAACACATGAAGATAACAAGGAGAGAGAGAAGCCCCGCCCCTTATCAGAACTATAAAGGCTTCTCATTACCCAGGAGGCACACAGGAAAACCTTCATGACGGGTAAAAGCAAAGAACTCTCCCAAGATCTTCGTAATCTTCCCGTTGAAAAGCTATCTGATGGGAACGTTTATTGGCACATTTTCAAGAATGCTGATTGTTCCTGTGAAAACTGTTGGGGCCATTATCCAGAAGTGTTCACCGTAAACTGGCCACAATCTTGCGCTCCACGTGAGATTCCTGGCCGAGGAGTCCAAAGAATAATCAGGAGAGTTCTCCAAGAGCCAAGAACCACTCGGGCAGAACTTCAGGAAGGAACTGTTGTTTCAAAGAAAACTATTATGGCCCACCACACAAGACTCCACCGTTGAAAAAAAAGCACATTGAGGCTTGGTAAAAGTTTGTGAAACAGCTTTTGGAGAAGCCAGTGGATTACATGGAAGCTATAGTCAGATGAAACCAGAATGAAACGTCTTGGCTGTGATTCTACACAGCAGGTCTGAAGAAGAAATGGCACTGCCCACCACCCCAAGAACACCAACAGTTGCGTATGAGGGTGGAAGCATCATGGTGTGGGGCTGATTTCAGCAAAGGGTACCGGCAGACTTCCTATCATTAAAGCAGGATGAATGGAGGAATGTACCGGGACGTTCTGGATAAAAATCTGCTGCCTTCTACCAGAAACGATGAGTTTGGTGTCAAAGACAGAAAATCAAGTTGCTTGAATGGCCCGTCGACCCCGACTCTGACTTAAATCCCACAGAAAGAGCTGAACCGAAGATCAAAGTTCATAAGAGAGGCGTTTGTGTGGAAGAATGGGCCAGGATCACTCCTGAGCAACACTCTCCATAGGAGCTGTGATCACCAACAAAAGCTTTTCTACAAACTACTAAATAACTTTTCCTTGTGTCATCTCACTTTATTTATTATGACCCAAAGTGTCTACCTAAATGTTCTGATTTCTTTGTATGAATTAAACATTTGGCTTAATGGCAACATGTTGGAAAAACTCTTACTGATAAAAATGCTGATGTGTCTTCTTTTCCCTGCTGTATTTGAGCATTTTACATCATAAAAAATGTGTTTAATATGTTTTAAGTGATATTTCACATCTTACAGTGCGACTCTGTGCATACATTCACCGCAACACCTACGTGCAGCTCTCCTCCAACTCGCTTTGTTTCCCTCAAATTACCTGAAAGGTGCAAATAAAAGTGAAAATCGACGCTTTCATGAACGCATGTTGTGTTCAGTAGACGTGTGTGAGTGAAAGCTGCTTTCCAGTGTGTTTTAACAGGAGTCGGTGCAGTTTTTTCCCAGCAGAGACCCTATCTTTATAAGCAGTTTGCCTATAGGGTGTTTATAAACCACGTGACTGAGTCTGGATGTGTGAACGCGGAGATTGAAAAGCAGTCGCCTGTAGGCAAGAGATTTAATGCTCCTCTAGTAGAAAATACACAGTTAATGCATTTCTGAGTACTGACAGTCACACTGTAAACGCAGCCCGACTCCGGATCGGCGTTCCTCACCTGAAAACCAGACAGGAAGCGGAGTATTACTGCTCAGCTTTCATTAGTGCGGACCTAATGGAAGGGTTAGAGGTTATGGTGAGCTCGAGGTCCCTGAGGAACCCTCTCGGCCACGTGCCTTCAAGAGTTCATTACAAAGCAATTATGAGCAGGTCGGCATGCCTCCACATGCTCAGCCTGCAGGCAAACGCTGAGTTTACAGCAGCTAGAAGCCCCACCCTGACTAAACACACCTGCAGCAAAAGGCATCACACAAATGGGACGACTGAAGCTCTTCACGTTTTCACGGTGAACTTTTCGTTCTATTTATTTATAGAAGTAAAAAAAAAGTCAACTGCAGCAGCTGCAGACCATCTGAACCGGTCTCCAGGTTAGTAGCCAGGAGGTGCTTCGAAGGTCCCACCGGACCCCCGAGGACGTCCCTGACACACGGAGCACACCCGCTGTCTTGTGGGCGAGTCCAGTCTGCGTGTGTGTGTTTAAATATTAAACGAGGTTTAAGAAGCAGCAAATCCTTTTCCTCCAGGCTGTCTGGAATGAGTCCGGCTAATCTAAGAGTTCGGACTCTTACGAAAACTACAAATGGCTTTATTCCCTACGTTATAGTTTCTAGATACAGGGCATCTGCAGGTTTAAGGGAGCCAAATTTAAGACTTTTTAAGACCTTTTTTAAGGCCACTTTGACCACATTTAAGCTATTTTTAAAATTAAATTTAAGCTATAATTTCCAGCTATTGCCTGGAACCGGTGCTAACCACGTCACGAACGTGGGATTAGCCATCCAGTTACCATTAAACTTGCACTTCCCCATGGCGCAAGCTCCCACTAGCTTAACCAGCTAACGTGCTCATCTTAAAACAGCCCCCTTTCACAACCAACTGAACGTGTACGGTTCCGCTTACGCCAACGTCGTACACAAAAAATGCTGAACACTAACTAGAAATTCACGAAAATTTTATAGAAATAAAAGAATCTTGTTTATTGGGTCTTTGGTAATTTAAGACCTTTGGAAACTGTATTTAAGGATTATTTGTAATTTTTAAGGATTTTCAAAGCCTTAAATTTGGAAAAGCCAATTTAAGACTTTTGAAGGACCCGCGGATACCCTGTAGATAAACTGAACCAATCTGCCCCAAAATGATGGATTTATCCCAGATATGATGTCCCATTTCCTCTTCTTTAAGAAGGACTAAACAGTAAATTCTTCTTTTCTGTCTAGACCTGTTTTCCTTTAGAGGTTTCCCAGATCCTCAGCTGGACGTTGTGACGCCATCATACCTGTATCTGACACAGAAAGCCTCACGTTGTGTAGAAATGTGTGAGTTTTGTGTGCATCTAAGCCTCATGTGTCTCTCCTTCTCCTTTTCTTTCACCCGTGTCATACAGCCCACAGCCTAAAGGAAGAGCAGGGGGGGAGGGTGGGGCTGGGAGGGCAGACTCCCCCATCCCCTGTGTAAAGCCCAGTAGGAGGAGATCTTCTTGCTTCAGATGGACAGCAGGTAATGAACACTGACACAAACACACGAGCCGTGTGGCCCTGAACTGCCTGCTCCTCTTTCCTTCCTTTACCCCCCCAACCTCTCCCGCTGCATTCCTGACGTGCCTCAGGGAGACACGAGAGGGGGAGAAAAGGAGGGGTACCTTCGGGACACGCAAACCACACACACAAGACTCTCACAATGGCAGTGGCTGCAGCCATTGTGAGTTTGGTCTGCACAGAGGAAAAGGTCGCGACACTCGCATTTCAGCGGGCTGCATCACAATCCTGCTCCGTTAAGTTCCCCTCACCGATGAAAAGCTGGAATCAAGCTGGAACTGTTTCAAAGTGGCACCCTTTTGGACTCGGGCTACCACTCAACCTTAAACAATCATTATCGATTTGCAACCTTTACAGCTTGAGCTGCTGGTGAAACATCAGAGGCCAGAAGCTCTCTGCACAACGTCAACACAACACTGCCCTCTTGTGGTAGAAAAACCACACAGCTACAACAAAGAGGTCTAGAAATCGGGTCAAGTCTTCAGGTCAACAACGAATCTGTGTCAGACTGCTTATAAATCTTAACATTTATGCAAAGTTTCAAGGTTTTAACAGTCTGGCATCCGTTTACTTCCTGTTGTTGTGTATGTTGAACTTTTGTTGCCTTCCTGCTGCCTCCGATTCCCTCCAGCTGTGGAGACTGTGGAGATGTTATTGGTCGTGTCATGTAGCTTAGCGCCACATTAGCCAACTAATCCGTCGTCTCGCCCCCCGCTGACCCCGACCTTGTGTTCCCTGGGTCCGCCTGACACGTATAACGGCTGGATTACAGCAGCCCGTGAGCGGGTTTTGAGAGAGATCACCTTTGACATGCACGAGCAAAGGAAGCTCAGAATCTTTATAAACCAGCTGACACATGTGCGGTTCTTGCTCACTCACCGAGGTGTAGTTGGTCTTGCCCGCGTTGTGGTTCTTGTTGTGGTTCAGGTTTTGGTTCTGCTGCTCTCTGCACTGCAGACCAGCCAGGTGTCTTTCCAGGGCCGCCCAGTCCATGGTGGGCAGGGGTTCTTCCTCCAACCCCTCCTCCTCCCCTCTATACCTACACATCACCCCTTCAGTCCCCCCACTTCCTCCTCTACCCGTGCCGCTGCTGTGGCTCCCCCGGCCCTGTCTGGAGCTGCGGTGGCTGGGCTTGGGAATCCCTGTGCCTCCCTCCGGTGTGCTGGAGGAAGGGACCCGGTTTGTCCCGGGTGGAATCAGGTTCCCGTTCTGTTTCAGTTGATCGGAAACGGCTGCTACTGAGGTGCCGGTGCGTCCTCCGGGGGCCGGCAGGGGCGGGATGCTCTTCACATCCTGGAATTCTACCGCAAGGCTGCGGCCGTTCACTGCCTTCCTGTAGCCTTCGTCGAGGCCCGTCACACTAAAGCCATCTCCGCTTTCCTCCTGACCTGGCGGCTGTGGAGAGGCATAGTCCTCGCCGTACTCACTCTCCCACTCCTCTATCACCTTCTTCTTGTACTCTTGGTAGTCGTCATCCTCTTCGTAGTCATCTAAAGTGACCAGATCTGGGGAGGGGGAGGATTTGTAGTCCTCCAAAGTGGCCAGGTCAAGAGAAGGAGAGCACGGCGTAACCTTGTTGGAATTGGACTCTGAGCTGGAGCGGCTGGACGCGTCACTCCCCAGGTCCATGCCATCCTCCCGGTAATCCTGCAAGCAGATGAGAAGGGAGGGAATGAATTTCAGGGACAGGTGGGAAAAAACTTACACATACAAGAGGAGAGCAGGAAAACAGAAGAATTTACGGACGTGTTTAGTGTTGTTCTAATCAAGCTGGTATTGTGGTTGGAGGCGGAGAAGCAGGAAGAACTTCCTACTTGCAGGAACTTCCGTTCCGCTCACAGATGATTTCACTCCCTGTGTTTTCGGGCTTTTGCAACATTTGACACGCACAGCAAGGGTGGCTGCATGTGTCAGAACAGTCTCTCACCACCTACTGCTACATCACTCCACCACAGGGACAGAGACAGGGAGGGCGCGGGGAGAGAGACAGAGACGTGTTGATACAACATTCAGCAAACTGTGGAGTGCGAGTCGAGAGCTGCTCTGTGACCTTGGCTGAGCGAGACGCGACCGCCACCTGACTGATTAGAGCCCAACTGATGCAAACGCCTCGTTGCTAACAACCATCCACAAATCTCCACCTAAGCCTCGTCTCTAGCGTCATCGCTCCTTCCTGCACGGGAGCGCAGCATCACAGCGTCTCGCCGCTGTCTAATGAAAAGCTGGGGGCACACCCAAATTCCTCTCAGGGCAAGGAGAAATTAACAACTCAATCCTGAGCGACCGCATCACCGGCTGCTCTGGAAACTAATTAACTATGAAGAATGACCGATTACTGGCGGGGAGCTCAGCTGCGAGAACAAACGGAGGAGGCAGAAATGACCTCACTGCTGAGGGGAAACACACCTGTGTGCTGTTTGGATCTCCGATCAGTGACTCAGCTTCTTACAGAGTGCAGGAAAAGTGCTGATGTCATGTTGTAAGAAAGCTCTTGCACAAACCTGAACTCGTTTGCTTTAGTCAACATTAAGAGTGTCACACCATAATGATCCCTGGGACCATTTTGCACAAGCAATGTGGGTCACGAAAAAACTCCAGGAATCTTGAGATTACAGTGTGTGTGTGTGTGTGTGTGTGTGTGGTGGGATATCATCCCTCCACATGAAGAGAGCTGATCAAACATGGAGCTACATTAAACAGGAAGGGTGGACGCACTGGAGCTGTGTGAAAACCGGCCTGTCACGTTGGTTTTGTCACCCTCTGAACGCCATAATCGCGTTAGGAATCTCGGTCACCGATCCCTTCATTTGCTTTAAGTGCTGTCCCAATTTTCGCATCCTCCATTTATTTTGTCGCGTCAGTGGTCACGTGGCAGGTAATGTAATCTTTTAAAGTGTGAGCATTGGCTGATTACAGGACGCAGAACACGACAACAGGCTGGAGGAGCGTAAACGCTGATCCGCCGCGGGATTAACCGGGGCGCTCTCAGGAGACTCCAGACTGGATTTTGGCCCAATAAATAAACGCACGATGACATCTGCACCGACACCCAGCTATGGGTGAGGCAGTGGGAGGGAGGGGGCGTTTATCTAAATCAAAGAACAGTCTGATCACAAGTGTGTCCTCCTGTGGGTGGTTTAAAAGGGGGACATCGTCGCACACGCCCTGTCTGCGCGCGTCGAAGCCCTCTCCAAGTGACGTTTGAGCTCGCATGACAGTTGCACGACCACATCTGCTTATTTCTGAATGAAGTCATCCCTCAGCTTTGATCTGTGCACAAACCCTAACGATGAAAGGCTTTCAAATAATACTAATAAATAAATTAAAGTCTCGTCATCCTCCTCCACAGAAACGCCCAGAAACTAAGTGTCACCAGGCGGATCGCACAGGCAGGGCTGACCCCCGGTTCAGCCTGCACCGTTACCGGTTCAATTCAAAGTCACAGCCTGCAAAAACAGAGAGAGAGAGGGGGGAAAAGTGGTAGCTGCGATTTAAACGAGCCGATACTCACCGTCATCGTATCTGGATCTTCCCTCACACGTCAGGACATTTTAAAGAGTCAATCCCAGCTGTTCGGACCGCGCTGATGCTGCTGACTTTTATTCTAAGGACGGGCGGCGCTGAGGCGAGCTTCGCGGGAGAAACCACTCAGAGGCCGGGGACGATTCCCAGCAGTCATCGCTGATCATCAGCGGCTTCTCCGCCACGGGAGCCGGTGTCGTTGCGGGAGGGAAGGACGGGGTGTCTTGGTAGAAATAATCTATTTAAGGTGTTAAAAGTCCCGGCAGGTCAGCGCCTGCGTCCGCCTGTCTCCAACCCAGCGTGAGCGGTGCCCACGGCCGACCCGAGCCGCGCCGCGCGGTCCAGCTGAGCTGAGCTCCACGTCAGCCGGGAAACAGGCAGCGACCTCCCCTCGGTGGGCTTCAGAGGTTCCACACAGGCCGGGTTCCTCACCGGACCCAGAAGCGTGTGTTTCCCAGCTGGCTCGGGTCTCTCTCTCTCTCTCTCGCCCTCTCCCCCCCTATCTCTCCCCCCTCTGTGACGCAGCCCGACGCGCCGAGGGACGATGACAGTAAAGCCCAGCCTTCTGCACCCACTGACCCAAGTCACAGCCAGACCAGCACATACTTCAACATTCTGATGCTCTGAACTTTCACTTTCAGGTAAAACCTCCAGGAGGATGCCTTAAAACAGCCCCCAGACCCCGCCCCCCTCCAACAAATGAGCAGAAATTCTTTCAAGCTATTTCCATCATCATACAATTTCCTCACATCTATTCCTAACAAATAATCGGAAATAAATTAGCCGAGGGCTCCATAATCTAATAACCAGCTTCTTTCAGGAATAACAAATTCACCACAGTGCAGAAGAGCAGTCAGTGGCAGCAATAACCACGAAGATCAGAATTTAAAAAAATATATATATATTGTGGAAATCATGGCACGCTCAGAAATGCTTCAGGAAAACGCGGTCAGAGGGCACAGTTTGTACGGCATCCATGACTTCTAATTAAAACTCCACCAGAGAAAAACGTGTAAGAAGATGAAGGAACATTGTCTTCTCTGGGCTGAGTCAAATGGTCTGTCAAACCAGAGGAAATGATCATTTGGCCCATTAGACGTCAGAGTTTGTGAGTGGGAGCCACAACACGACCAGTCAGACAGGCACCAGTTAGGAGTAAAACTTTTATCGTCACAGATCTACGTCTGCAAGGATTATGCTGTTTGTGTCATGGCTTCTAAACTAAAGGAAACAACTGCAATTGTAGAAGTATGAGTACACACACACACACACACACACACACACACACACACACACACACACACACACACACACACACACACACACACACACACACACACACACACACACACACACACACACACACACACACACACACACACACACACACACACACACACACACACACACACACAGAGGTGGAAAGAGTACTAAAATGTTGTACTTAAGTACAAGTATAATTACTACATGAAATTTTACTCAATTACAAGTAAAATTACCTGCCTCAAAATTTACTCAAGTAAAAGTAAAAAGTAGCTTATTTCAAATGTAGTCAGAGTAAAAGTTACTTAGTTACTTTTTTGACTGTGCAAGGACGGGCTCTTCTGAATAGTAAAAAAAAAAAAGACAATGGGGTATAAATGTCAAAGTGGCCGTTTTTTTAAATTAAATGAACAAATATGCATATTGAAGTACAAAGGCAGTTACACTGCAAACTAGTAACATAAATTAGGTTATAGTCACAAGCCCATGACTTTTCCCTGAATGCTTATTTAGAGCAGCTGATTTTTAAAGTTAGCAGAGTTCATCTTTGGTAGTGGGTTCACTCACTCATTTAAAGATATCGGCCAGAGGCAAAATTTGTTTGAACAGCATGTGTAAATGTGTATTAAAACCTCAGATGAAAAAGGTTTTTGGATTTTGACGGCTGGAATTGTAAGAAAATCTGATGTTTGTGACCGGCGCAGGAAAAACAGAAACTAACTTCCGGTCTAAGCCCTGGGCAGCTGGTGACGTTTCACATGGAGCTCTGCTGAAACAGCGATAGTAAACAACGCCTGGCTCCGCTGTTTCTGCGTTAGCGTCATAGGCGTCATTTTAACCGGGGACGCCGGGGACATGTCCCCGGCAAAATTCGTGATTGGCAGCTGTGTCCCCCCCACTTTCAAAAAAGCCTGCTGATGAGGATTTTTGTTTTACCAGCTCAGATTTTATACCAGGGGTCGGCAACCTGTTCCCATCAAAGAGCCATTATTACCCGTTTCCCACGGTAAAGAAAACACCGCAGCAGCCGCAGCGTTGTGGGCGGGGCCTACCCTCAAGACAGCAGAGCGCTGCTCACAACAGGTGACAGCAGCCGGGGGCATCGCACCCGTGGGGGATGCAACACCCACACTTCTCCAGCTGTTTGCTCACCTCCACACCAGTCTGGTTTCTTTACGTCGCACTCACTCTGTTTGCCTCATCTCCTTCTTCACCTCCCAGCCGGTGTCGGGTTTCCAGGAGAGCAGGAGAGGGAGGGACGGAAGAGCTCGACTGAATTCATAATTTTACATCTTGACATTAGCTGTACAAAGTCTGAGTTTGATAAAGTGAAGAACAACAATTTGCAGAGGTTTATAACTGGCGCGGCGCCAGGTTTTCATTTTTGGGTGGGCCACGGTAATTCTGGACGGACCTTAATAAGCAGTGACTTAAGTGAAGCAGGCAGGTCGCGCTAGAAAATTTAGTTTAAAAATACGTCATAAATGTTTTCCCCAGTCATTTTTATTTATAAAATATGAAGTAAAAACTCACAATTTAATTTTCATTCATTTGTCATTAATATGTAGTCTACACCCGTGCGTTAAGTGGACCATCTTCCAGTAAAAGCAAAGCATCCAGCCCACCTCTCCAAATGCGTAAAATGTGCATCAGCCGCTAGTTAGGCGTGCCGCGCGCACCGTCAGCTACATCAGCCCAGACAAGAGCAGAGCAACTAGAGAAAGAATAGAGGATGATTGTGTCTGGATGTGGATGGAGATTACATTTTACATCAGCCTGATCATCATTTAAATATGTAACCCATCACCTGTCTTCTAGTCCACGCTATCAGCATTATTTTAATTGGTGTGTGTGTGTGTGTG